ACTCTTTCCACATGGTGTCGGTTCCAAATTGGATCCAGAAACTCTCGGTTCTGATCTCGAAAAGGCAGGATATGGGCTACAGCCTGTGAAAGGAAGAATCAAAGACCCTATAAAAGTTCACTGGATTTCCACAGTATCTCTGCCTCACTGCCCCATCCAGCTCTGGGACGTGGCCAGCCCTGGAGTGCCAGCAGACATAAGACACAGCAGAGACTAGAGTGGGCCAGAGAAGAGAAAACGAGCAAGAGAGCCTCCAGTGATGCACAGTGGGGTCTCCAGTGACTGCACAGAGCAGAGATTAAAGGTCCTTCTGAGGCACTTTGAGGTTTCATGTGAAAAAAGCTGAACTACAGACTGCAAGGAACTCAGTTTATACCTGTGAAAGGACAAAGGGCTGAGTCAGACCGTCCTGGGACTAACATACAGTTCTAAAGTGCTGAAATACATCAGATCAGATGCTTACACCACTAAAGCCATCTGTAATTTTTGGGAGGGAAAAAAAAAAGAAGTAATTGCCTGTCTTAGTAGAGATGCTCTCCTTGCAGCTTGACATGCAACCTTCTGAGTAAAACCTGGCTACAGTGCCATGGCTGGAACAGGCTATTTTCAAAATGTGGTATCACATTCCTCTAAAACAAGGATGGCATGTCCTTGAGCACATTTCCTCTGGGACAGCGCAGCTCCACATTCCAAGCAGTCCCTGCAGCAGCCAGTCTTCCATGCCCTGAATGGAGCATAGGCCAGGAAAAAAACCTTGTCTTAAGCACCCCGCAAAACTAACATCCCATTAGCTCCATATCATATCAAATTAAAAACTGCTTCTAGCAGCCACAGCTAAGCAGAGAGGCCTGTGTGTAATGAGACAGGAGAACTGTGAGAAGGGAAGGGCGCTGCTTATTCAGCGAAATCAAAGCTCTGACCTTGCTGAGAAGACCAGATGAATTCTGCATCTCTCCTTCATGCACACACACAGTTCACCCCTGCACCCTGGCTTCCCTCTGCAGATGGGACCCTCATCACTCTAATGGGACAAAGCCCTGCACATTTCCTCTGCTCTGCAGGAAGATGAAGAGCAGCACAGTACAGGACTCCATAAGCAAATAGAGGCTTGGGAGAGCACTCGGTGGCTCTGCCTGCATCTGGGAGGAACAAAACTCTCTTTAGATGCAGAGCTGACATCCAACACTCTCCCAGCCACTAAAGCCCTCAGCCCAGCAGGGGGCTGCACACTGCAAGCTGCTCACCTGTTTGCCAAGGTAGTGGTCCACCCGGTACATCTCCTCTTCCTTGAAGAAGCTGGACAGCTCTGCAGCCAGCTGCTGGGCTGACTCCAGGTCATGGCCAAAAGGTTTCTCCAGCACCACACGCAGCCAGGCTCCTGGAGGGGGTCTGCAGCTGCTGTTGATGTGGCGGGCAATCTCTGTGTAGGCAAATGGTGGCACTGAGAAGTAGAAGATCCTTCCAGCCTCCTTCAGCCCCTCCTGGCGAAGCAGCGTCTCAATCTCTCTGTTCAGCACAGTGTAGTTTTCGGCAGTCTCCAGCTGGTGGTATTGGCTCAGCTTCAGGAATTGGTCCTTGAGCACAGCACATCTGTTGGGAGGTTCATCAGGGGGACAGGCCAGCTTCTTCAGCACATCAAACATCAGCCTCTGCCCTGGCTCCAGAGCTGTCAGTGCAGCCCCATGAAAGGTGAAGCTGTGGCCACTGCTCACTTGGTCTATGTAGAGTTGGAATAGACCCTGCCACAAATACTTCTTGGCCAAATCACCTGTGGCTCCCAGTAAGACCACTGAGATGTGGCCCTGGGACACTTCAGCCAGTGATGGCAAGGCTCCCACCAACAACATTGTACACAGGACTCTTCTCAGCATCTTGGGACAGAAGAGGTGGACTCAGGAACACTAGAGGACAGAATTAAAGAAAGAAAATCTGTTAATCCATGTTATAACACTGCAAAAACAATGCAAGGTATCAGTGTTCCCACAGCTGAAGAGCCAGGGACTTCTGCCTGGATCTTCCATCTGTCTTTCTTCCCCTCCATGATCTGAATCACAGCAGTACCTGGGGCTCTTGAGAAGACTGCAGCCTCCTTATGCAAACCAAGGAGCAGATCCCAGCATGTGCCTACAGTCTTTTGGTAGCATAAGCATTGTTCTCACAACTGAGCTAAGGAGGGGGTGGCAATGCCTTTAGACAGTGAAACTGAAAACCATTTTTCATACAAATTGCAGAGCTGGCTACAAACAAATAAATGTGCCTGCAAATGAAGTACTGCATTCAACAAGCTCCTGTTTGGGACTTTGCTCTACTCGTGTTATGCTGCTCTGGCATTGATTCATGTCAATATTGTCACAGCAACTCAAAGACAAGCAGGACCACTAGCAGCTCCCAGCACAGAGGTTCTTTAATACACTGCACTTCAATGATTCATGTGCACCACCTCTCTGATGAACAGAACTGAATTAGGCTCTAATGAGCTACTAGGAGACAAACAGTCTGGTAAAACAACACAGGGGAAGAAGCTCAGTCCTTAAAATTGAGTCTAGACATGAGCCAGTCTAGATGCTGCCTTATGGTGGTTGTGTATGTGGCCAGAAGACAATGTGGGGCTTGTGTTCAGCCTACTGCAACTTCCCATCACCAAGGAGTGCACGTCAGCACTGTTCTGGCCCTCTCCACTCAGCACCCATTCAGACCACTGCAGCCAGTAACAAACAGCTGCTCTCCCTCACCAAAAAGCCCTTTTGCTCATTGTTATTTATTCTCATTTCTCTAATCCAAAATACAAGGCCTGGTCCTCACTTCCCTTGAGTGGCAAAGGGATGAAACACAGACATTGTCCTAGCTCTTGATTCATTCTCCCCCTGGAAAGCTCCCACAAAAGTCACTGTCTTATCTAATCAACATAGGATCTAAAAATCAGCTAAAGGATTAGGATAATTAAATGAAAACAAGAAACTTCAGAATATCTCACCCTGTCTGCAGCTTGAACTGGTTTAATAAATCTCCTGTTTCTCTCCTCAACAGACTCACCTGAGTAAAACAGGAGCTTTACAGAGTCTTCAGTGGCACAAGTAGCTGGAAACTTGTGTTCTCCACAGAGCACAGATCTCTCTTCTCCTGTGACTGAGTGCACAGCAGACTTTCTGATCAACGGTCAGGTGAGCAAGCAAGACAAGGCCAGTTGTTTCCTTTCTGGTGAATGGGAGGAAAGACCCAATTGCATCAGAGAAAAAAATGAACATGTCTGTGCCAGCAACATTCCAGCTCTCAGCCCTCACATGCTGGCTGTACTAAACCTTGTGAGCAGGCAAAATGCAGGCATCTGTGGCAACTCCTGCTCTCAGAGTGTGCTCCGCTTTGCCTGTGAGCTCAGACTGAGACCACAGTGTGCCTCTCCAGGAGCAGTTCCCCACTCCAACTCTCAGAAGAAAGGGCCTCCCAGGAGTACAACCCTGATGCAGTGAGAAGGGGGCAGTTTTAGTGATCCCCTCTAGTACAGCACTTTCGTGATGCTGCTGTGCTTTCTGGGCACTCTGGCTTCCCTCAAAGGTCAGTTCACATAGTGACTCCTTGGCTTTTCCTTCCCTATTTCCTGCATGGAGATCACACAGCTGCTGAGCATCAGTTAGCTGACCACAACTGCAGCCTGCTCTGCTTTGCCATGGTGCAAGGAGACAGTCTCATTGCTCCCCACCAGGCATGTCACTCCCTCAAAAGTGGTTCAGTATCCATTGCTCTTCTCCAGAGAGCTTCAGTAAGATATACTGTAGTCTGTAGATGTAACTGGTACCATCTCTCCCAGCCTTCTCTTGTGACTGCCTCCCTTCTTGCTGTGCTATTCAAATTCCATGCACACACATCAGGAACACAGCAAATAGTGCTGGCAATTGCAGAGGGACAGAAGTGTGGCTCCTAAGATTTTGCCTGCAGTATGAATAGTTATCACTTGAAGCAGAGGTTTGGTTTTCCTTCCCCCACCATGGGTTTATAATGCAGATGACAAAGTTTCTCAATGCCATAAAAAGTAATATTGACATTTGCTTGAGCAAACTTTGTTCCAGGAACCTAGAGAAGTCTGATATAGTGCTTGTTGCACCCTGGCAGGCTGCAGTAACTGCCATGGTGCTCAGAAACTGCAGCTGAAGAGCAAGTACCTGCTATGGGATGAGATGGGTTTGGGTGGGTCACTCTTTTTTGTGTAACCAAGGAGATGAGTGAATTAGCCAAGTAGTTTCCTGACAGATTCAGAGACACAGGTACATGTTATTTCCAGGCTAACTGAAAACCAGTTTCACAACACTCCCAATTGCAAAATACTATGCTACACTGCCCAGAATAAGCACAGTAAATCCAGGATATTTGTTTACTGCCTTCATATCAGATCATCACCACTGTTTGCATCAAAAAAATAAACCTCTAAAAATCCCACAACAAAAGTTTCTCAGTCAGGCTTCAGGAAAAGACTCCTGAGACTGATCCACATAAAACACTGCAAGAGGTTACAGCAGTAGGTGTGAGACTTGCACCACCACAGCAAGTTCCAGTTTGACAGGAGCTCATTTCAGGTATGCTAAGTTTTTTGCTACTGTTGCATCCCCAGTGATGAACAGCTGCAGCCACGTGCAGCCTGGCCTGGGGCTCCTACACAGCTACACACACCTAACACGTGTGGGAAAGACTGACTGAGATTCCTTGAGAATCAGAAAAAGAACAGTGGTCTTCTGCATATGCAAACCTTGGAGCAGGACTGACCACACCCTCAGAGGCCTAGAGGGGAGACTCACATGAAAAGCAAGCTAAGAGATGCGTAAAGTAGTGTCTGGCGTTCTGATACACAGTCTCTCTCCTAAATGAGAAGGAGCTCTGGCCCCAGCAGCTGTTTCTGAAGCCTTGGAAAAGTAGAACAGGGTTACAGTGAGATAAACGACTACAGGGCGCAGTAGCTTCTCAGCCACACCAAAGCTGGAACCTCCCAGGTGCCTGTACCTTGCTCTTACAGCGGGGGGGACTCGGGCTCATCCTCCGCCTTCCCCACGCTCGGCCGCTGGCGCTTCCTCCCGGTTTCCCCAGCTTTGGGGACGCAGAAAGGACTCTGAACGTCCCTCCCCACGGAGCACAGGCGGGAGGCGCCGGCGGCGGGACGAGAGTCCGCGCTCG